GTAATGCATCCCTCTGCTTCCTATAGAAATCAATAACCCTAGAAGAAGAAAACAATGAAAAGGATGTGTTTAGTACATTGATTGCAGAAATTAAGAGGCTCTGAAGCCCAGTCTGTAAGAATCTATTTTCTATCTTGATGAAAATGTTGAATTCTTGATGAGGGAATAGAGCATATTTATTTGACCTGTTGGGTGGTAAACTTTTTACCATTGTGGTTTTTCCATTATTTTGGAATAATTCAAAAATGAAAATTAATAGAGTGAAGTCCATTTCTATGTAAAGTATGGAACCTACAATACAATACCTGTCTACATGAGCCAGGAAGCCCTCTTCTCCCCATTGGTACAGAAGCTGTGATACCAGGAGCTAAACGGGATGAGACAGTAATAAGGTCATCATTCATCCTCTGAAATGTGTTTTTTGCCCAAACCTAAAAGCAAACCACTCTTGATCATGTGCAAACCACCCTAAGAGGATGCTACAGGCTGTACCAAGCTTTGTAGAGCCAGCAACTTATAATAAGATTGATTATTAACAATGACAAGAATAATAGTAAAAATAACAAAATATTTATGTGGTCCTTGCTATGTGCCGGAAACTGCTGTACCGTATGAACGTATTTAAGCTAAGTTGATCTTCGTAATACCCTTATTAGGCAGGTCATGATTTCTAATATACTGAGGAAGAGACTGAGGCACGAGGTGAAGTTAACTTTCCTGAGGTCACTGCTCCTCAAAGAGCCTGGACTTAGGTCAGACTGTCCAGTCCGAGATCCACCCAATAGGTGCTGCCCTGGATGGTCTCTAACTATAAAACACACAGTCGCAGAGGGTTTCTACAGGCGTGTGCTCCGTTCACCATGTTTCTGTTTGGCTGAAGGCTTCCCTCAGCTGTGTGGCTGACAGGGTCTTGGTGCTCCGGCCTGTTGTCAGGCCTGAGCCTCTGACGTGGGAGAGTCCAGTTCAGGTCATTGGACCACCAGAGACTTCCCGGCTGCATGTAATATCAATTGGCAAGAGCTCTCTCAGAGATCTCTGTCTCAATGCTGAGACCCACCTCCTCCCAATGGCCAGCAAGCTCTAGTGCTGGACGCCCCATGCCAAACAACTAGTAAGACAGGGGCACAGCCCCTCCCATCAGCACAGAGGCTGCCTAAAATCACACTAAGTTCAGTCTCACCTCAAGAAACAAGAAAAATCTCAAGTAAACAAGAAGGAAACAGTAGCAAAGATCAATCAAACTAAAAGCTGGTTCTTTGAGAAGATACACAAAATTGATAAACCATTAGCCAGACTCATCAAGAAGAAGAGGGAGAGGACTCAAATCAATAAAATTAGAAATGAAAAAGGAGAAGTTACAACAGACAGCGCGGACATACAAGCATCCTAACGGACAACTACAAGTAACTCTATGCCAATAAAATGGACAACCTGGACGAAATGGACAAATTCTTAGAAAAGCACCACCTTCCGAGACTGAACCAGGAAGAAATAGAAAATATAAACAGACCAATCACAAGCACTGAAATTGAGACTGTGATTAAAAATCTTCCAACAAACAAAAGCCCAGGACCAGATGGCTTCACAGGCGACTTCTTTCAAACATTTAGAGAAGAGCTAACACCGATCCTTCTCAAACTCTTCCAAAATATAGCAGAGGGAGGAACACTGCCAAACTCATTCTAGAGGCCACCATCACCCTGATACCAAAACAAGACAAGGATGTCACAAAGAAAGAAAACTAAAGGTCAATATCACTGATGAACACAGATGCAAAAATGCTCAACAAAATACTAGCAAACAGAACCCAACAGCACATTAAAATGATCATACACTATGATCAAGTGGGGTTTATCCCAGGAATGCAAGGATTCTTCAATATACGCTAATCAATGAATGTGATAAACATTATTAACAAACTGAAGGATAAAAACCATATGATCATCTCAATAGATGCAGAAAAAGCTTTGGACAAAATTCAACACCCATTTATGATAAAAACTCTCCAGAAAGTAGGCATAGAGGGAACTTTCCTCAACATAATAAAGGCCATATATGACAAACCCATAGCCAACATCATTCTCAGTGGTGAAAAA